TCGATCACATTATTATTTTCATTAAAATACAATTCATCTACAATGTTTAATTCTTCTATGAAACTAAGATCTTGGTTATCTAAAATTTCTTGTGGTATAGAACACGTACTTCTTGTCTCCTGACTCATCTTTTCTCTTTAGATTGACCGCCATATTAGATCACCAATGAAAACAAAAGGGGAGTAAATCGGAAACTTCCGTTTCAATATTTTGGCGCTTAATTTAAAACCAACGAAAGAAAAAAAAATATCATTGACAGCTTTTGGATCAGACGACATAGCTGATAATTAAATTACATTGAAATAAGTGAAAAAAAAACAAAACAAAACAAACACGTGTCTAACGTTTTTAGCGCGCCTTGCTTGTTATTATGACGTAAGTTTGATAGCCAATTTCTCATTATGACGTTTGCCGCATCTGGCCCCTTTTTCCCAGTCGCGGTCACATTTGCGAAGGAAGAACTATTTATAAGCTTTGATTGAAGCAAAATTACATTATTGTCGTTCTGTACAATATTAATTTCTTGAATAATACTATATATTTAATTGTATCTAAGAACTCTTTCTACTGAAACAATTTTAATTCTTTATTTTAGTCTAATTGATCATAAGGGTTAAATTACATATAAAGTTATCCTAATAACACATTTTAAGGTATGTCACTCGTGAAATTTGTTATATCAAGGATTTTTTTTTGAGAAGTATATTTTAGATAAGTACTCGTATAGCATGACTCAAAATTGCAAAGACAATGGACTGAGCTACGGTACAATTAAGTTGACCTTTTTGCACTTAAACTGTAACTTTAATCTTTATCCTATTTAATCAGATGTAATTAAGGCAATAAATATAATCTTATTTTACGTAAAATACTTTGAATAATATTTATGATTGAACAAATCATACAAAATAATGCGCATAAATTGTGTGACCTTTTTGCACTAAAAAAGTATCATGTTTGGGGTATAAAAATCTAAAGAGACAGTAAAATATTTACTTTATGACTTAAGTGCAGACAGATTGGAAGTATCGTGTTGTTTAAAATAATGAAAGAAAAAGTTGGGGTCAGTGATGTAAATTTTGAGATATTGGTCAAAATGTGTGATTTTCAGGCAAAAAACTGTGTAAATTTTACCTCGACTTCTTTAATATATCTTCATTTCTTGGCAAAGTCTGTTCAGTGAGTGTGTAAAAGGACAAGTGCACTTACGCAATGCTAAATGGGCCTTTTTTCAGTGCCATTTTACTTTAGCACATATTACCAAATTGTTCTGTTTTGGTAAACACAAGTGGATATTTCTAATTAAAATCACGTAAAAACATCACCTAAATCAGCATGGATTTGAAACAAATGAAGATTTTTAAATGCCAAAAGATACCCCAAATCCGGAAAAGTCGTACCGAACCTATTTTGAGTTTCGTTTATTAATTCAAGGGGAGGAGACATTTAAATCGGACACTTGAACAATCTGATGGTGGATCATTGACAGGCGCCTTTTCCGAATGATAATCTTGCGCTATTTAACCTGAGAAAAAAAAATTGGAAGTTGTATAGATGCATGTAGGCATAGTGTTCAAACTAAGAAATTTGCACGCTTACATTTGAAATAATACAATAAGTATTAACATTAGTTCTTTTAAATTTTGAAATGAAAAAAGTGTATTTAGGTGGCTTTCATTCCCGGTACCATTGTCTTGCATGAATGTTTAAAATGTTTGACGCTTTTATGTATGATGACATTTTAACGACACTAAACTCTCCTAACCCTCCCCTTTTCATAAAACCAAATACATACAAACTTCTCTATGCGGCACGACTTCGATATAATGATACAGAACATGGCTATCTTTCACAGTGAGCACCTTTGAGGAATATTTACCTGGGTAGAACTTACCTGACTACCGGTATCTTGAATAATTTATTCCATGGGTGGGTTCAGCAAAGGTCATACAGGTAAATAGCATAGCTCTCGTTTGCTGTAGAAAAAATATTGAACTTTTCATACATTTTTAGCTTTTTAAGTACAAGCCTAATATTGTACAAATTTCCTACTTCCACACAAGTTTTATAAATGTATAATGCGCTTTTTGTCGTTCGCACAAGTTTGCACAACGTTAGGCTGACAGTAAACAAAAGCTTTGAATTGAATGACCGTCCTCGATTTACTATAGAAAATAATGAATGTCGGCTGACCCCTACCACATTGTAAGGCTTTGCTCTTTGTATATTCATGAATTTCAAAGATAATATTTGTTGAATCTTATGGTTTAGATATCAATTGTACTGCCCCCGTAATGACCACAAAACTCGGCAGCTAGTTAACGGACTTTATTTTCATCAATAAGATCGCCGTAAGAACTACAACAAACAAGAAACGCTAATAAGCACTAGCATACACACATACACTAACACACACAGACTCAATAATTGATTTATGTGGCGAGGCTCAGAGTTACAAACTACAGAAAATACCAAAACAAAGGTTGAGGAAATTCGAAATGACTACGAATACAGGCTTTAAGATAATCAACTTTGCGTAGGCATCTCATATCAATATGCGTAACTTTAGCAAACAATAAGTAACATGATTATACACTTACAACAAGGTGCTTGACCAACTTTCTCCGACGCAGTGTGCTCAATCACATGTTGGAACAAAAACAAGCGTGCATTCTTTGCGCCATTTCCACACAACGAACGATAACTCTAACTCAGGATGTAGAATTACAAAAATAGATAACTCGTTCCACTACACTCCTCGCCAGATATTGTAAAATATCTCCATTTTCACACAAATTCACAAGTAAATCAGTCATTGTGCAATCACACAGAACTAGTATAAAAGGTCATATACAGACAACTTGCACGCGCGACTCATTCCAGTTTGACAAAACAACCAGATTACATACTAACAATGAAATGACTAGAATACAAATACACTATCATCTCTAGACTAGGAACAAAATGTAAAAAATAGTAAATGACAACTGACTAGAATTGTAAGTTGTAGACTAGATACACAGTCAATTCACTAAGCTAATGAGTTCGGATATAGGACGTACTAGAGTTGTCGGTTTCCCATCCTTGGACATGCGAATTTCCACTGTGCGAACATTACCATCACCCTTGGAAGGAAAGACCTGAAGGATTAGAGCCAAGGGCCACTGATTTCGACAAGTTGTGGAATCACGTACTAGAACTACATCTCCTGGTTTCAAATTTTCTCGTTGTTGGTTCCACTTTCTGCGAGTTTGGAGACCACTCAGGTATTCTCCCTTCCATCGTTTCCAGAACATGTTGGACAACATACAAACACGTTTCCACCCTGTCTTGTAAAGGTTCTTTACGTCATCGTCCAAATCAGGTACAGGGTCAAAACCGGTTTTTTGAGTCAGCAGCATGACTGGACTGATGATGATTGGATTGTCGGGATCAGTTGAAATTGGAGTCACTGGCCGAGAGTTTATTATGGCTGACACTTCATACATGAATGTGTGAAGGACTTCATGGGTAAGTTGGCCCTTGTGTTGAAAAAGCATTGTGTCCAGGATCTTGCGGGCCATACCTATCATCCTTTCCCAAGAACCCCCCATATGTGAAGCATGAGGAGGGTTGAACTTCCAGATTATTCCTGACTTATGAAGAAAATCCTGTACTGGTCCTTGTTCTACAAACACACCATCCACTCTCAGAGCGTCTAAAGCTCCAACAAAGTTAGTTCCACGGTCAGAACAGAATTCCTTTACAGATCCTCGTATACACACAAAACGGCGTAAAGCGTTTATAAAGGCGGAGCTGGTCATCTCCTCTACGAGCTCAATGTGCACTGCTCGTATAGCCATGCAGGTGAACAGGATGGCCCATCTTTTACTATGAGCAAGACCACCTCTCGTCTTACGAGCTACTACCTCCCATGGTCCGAATGTATCAACACCGACAATGGAAAATGGTGGTCCCGTGGAAGTGCGTTCCAGAGGAAGGTTGCTCATTATCTGTTCTTGGAATTTTCCACGCAGTCGCCTGCATGTAATGCAGTGGTTGATGACTGAGGAAACCAGTCGTTTGGCTCCCGTGATCCAGTAGCCATTACTTCTAATGGCTGCCTCTGTGAACAGCCTCCCCTGGTGTTTAACCTCTTCGTGATAATGTGAGACCAGAAGCCTTGACAAAAAGGATTTCTTTGGGAGTAGAACTGGATTTTTCGTTCCCTCTGGAAGGTCGCTTTGGTTGAGTCGTCCACCGACTCGCAATAACCCAGAATTATCCAGATATGGGTTAAGGTGCATAAGAGGACTTCCTTTGGGTAGTGGTCTGTGATGTTGTAGACACCGCATTTCCATTGAGTATGCATCTCTCTGAACCATTGTAATGATAAAATCTCTCGATTGCTCCCACATTTTCTTTGAGGAAAGTCTGATTTTCTCCTTGAAGATCCTTCCTGCTCTCTTTAACACAGTGACAGCAATTACTAACCTCTGCCAGCTGGAGAATTTTTCAAACTTAGATAATATCTGACTTGATAACTCCTCTGTGGAAGTCTTTGTGGTTTTGACACATGGTCTTACTTCACAATCGTTGTCTGGATCAAAAAGCTGGTAAGTATCTGACCTTGCGCATTGATGGTCGTCATCATTTTCGCTAAGAGGAAGTCCTCGAATCCAAATACCTTCCGCTAGTTCCTTAACGCAGGAGACGCCTCTTGTCCCAACATCAGCAGGGTTCCGAGAAGTTGAGATGTACTTCCACTGTTGGGGCTGAGAGCGCCCATGAATGATTGCGACTCTATTGCTTACATAGGTATAGAAACGCCTGGTATTGTTGTTCAAGTACCCTAAAACAACTTTACTGTCTGTGAAGTAATTTATGTTCTCCATTGGAACATCTAAGTTTTGTCCAATGATGTCTCCTATCTCTGTTGCCAGGACTGCGGCACATAACTCAAGGCGCGGTATTGTGTGTCCAAGTTGAGGTGCAAGCTTTGCTTTACCTAAGATGAAGCCTTATTTTCCACTTTCAGAATCCTTAACAAAGGCAACCGCTGCTATTGCTTTCTCAGAGGCATCTGAATAGATATGTATCTCAGGTTTGTCTGCCTTGCTGAGAGAATCGAGCATGAACATCCGAGGGATACTAAAGTGACTAAGGCCATGCAGAGATTGTTTCCAATTCTCCCACTCCTGCCGGTAAGTATCAGGTAAGTCATCGTCCCATGCAGCGTTTGTACTGCAAATGTTCCTGGCCAAAATTCTCCCTGTGATGACTAGGGGTGCTATGAAACCCATCGGGTCGAATAAACTATTTAGGGTAGAAAGGAGTCCTCTTTGGGTGAATGGTTTATCTTCTAATTGGCTGTTAAAGGTAAAGGTGTCCGAGTTGAGATCCCATGACAGGCCGAGGCTTTGCTGTGCTGGTAACGCATCCGATCCAATGTTGACTTGGGATAAGCTCTTCTCCAAGTCCTGAGTGGGAAATGCATTCATAACTGTTACACTATTAGATGCGATTTTGTGTAATCTAATGCTCCCTTGGTCCTTCAATACTTGTTGTGTTTTCTTCACTAGTTCAATAGCTTCCTCTGTGGTTGGAACAGAAACCAGCCCATCATCAACATAGAAGTTCCTTTCAACAAAATCCCTAACATCTTTATCACTGTTTTTAACAGCCTTACGTAATCCATACGTAGCTACAGCTGGTGATGGAGTGTTGCCGAACACATGCACTCGCATGCGGTAGTCTATCAGCTCATCCTCTGGGTTGTTGTTGCGATACCATAAGAATCTCAGGAGATCGCGGTGCTCTTCATTTACATAGAATGAATAGAACATTTGTTCTATATCGGCTATCACTGCTATCTGATCTCTGCGGAAACGCAGCAAGACTCCAAGCAGACTATTCGTTAAGTTAGGACCTGTCAACAAGACGCTATTGAGTGACATTCCTTGGTACACCACTGAAGAGTCAAAAACGCCTCGAATTTTATCAGGTTTTCTGGGGTGATATACCCCAAATAAGGGCAGATACCAGCATTCTCTGCCTTCTGAAATCGGTGGTGCGACTTCTGCTGCTCCTCTACCTATAACGCCTTTCATGAAGGAAACCATATGGTCTCGCTTAGTGGGATTCTTCTTCAGGCTAACATCCAAGGAATGGGCTCGTTTCAAGGCTAGGACTTTGTTGTTAGGTAAGACAGGTCGTTGCTCCTTGAATGGTAAGGGCGCTGTCCAATGACCATTGCTGTTCTTCTTGAAGGATTTGTCCATGAATGTCAAGAACTCTCTATCATCTACAGACAAGCCTAACTTGTCATCATCCTTGGTTTTGACAAATATACCGCTATTTGTACCAAAATGCTCTTTGGACAGACCGCCATGGATTTCCTTGATATTCAGTGTGTTTTCACAAGGTTGTAGAATAGTTTGTCTTCTATCCTTAGACAGAAATGTTTTGGACACTTGGATGGTTCTGGATGAATGAAATCGTCCAAGGCACACTTCACCAATTATCACCCATCCCAAAGGTAATTCTTGTGCGAATGGTGTTTGCCTGGGACCAATTGCCTGACTCTTTACATGATGAACCTCGGGCAGATCTCGACCAACAAGGAGGCTTATTTCTGCTGACTGATCCAGTTCTGGTATATGGCATGCAATATGATGCAGATGCTCATAATATCTGGCTATTTCTGGTGTTGGGATTTCTGATCGATCATTGGGCATATTGTCACACTCGATCACTGGCGGCAAATCAAATGTCTCTCCACCATCACAAGGCTGGATACAGAGATCATTAGCTCGTCGTGCTGACAACAGAACCTTTCCAGCACAGGAAGACAGCGAGTATTCGAACTTGTCATCAGCAACACCCAGCGCATCAAAAAGAGCTGAAGTACCAAGAGTCTTGTTGCTTTGGTCATCTAGGATGGCATATACTTTCACTGCCTTGTTAGGATGTCCTTTTGGAAAGATTTGTACTAACACAGTCTTAGCGCAGGATCGTCCATTAAAGTTCTGACCACACAGCTGGGTGCATTTGGAGACAAGATCATTGGCAGGCTCCCCGCCATGCTCTTTCTCGGGTGTGACATGTAAAGACTCTTTGACTGCTGTACTCTGCACTTGACTTACTTTGTTGCTCTCAACCATATGAAGTGCTGTTGCATGACGCTGACTTCCACAGTCTTCGCAGCGAACAGAGGCTTGGCAGTCCTTTGCTGTATGAGTTGTGGTCAGACAACATTTGAAACAGATGTTCTTGTCACGTATGATCTTCTTTCTGTCTCTGAATGGTTTTTGAGGAATTCTCTACATTTGTTCAAAGAATGGTTGGAATGATGAATGGGACACTTCAGTAATCGCCCTTGTTCCAAATCTCCCTGCACTTCTGTTTTCCTGGTGTACACTGTAGACTGTTTGCGGATTTCAGTGAGTGGTCTGGTTGTTCTTGACGAACTAGAACTCTCCGTACAAAATGTAAGGCCTGGATCATTTAACATCAAACTCATATCTTTGATGAAATCACAAAACACATTGAATGGTGGAAACCCTACATCGTGTGCCCTCTTATATTTCGTTGCCCTGTCGCTCCACTTTCCTTGTAGATGGACAGGTAATTTGTGTACTATTGGGATGATACCAGCTGACGAATCATAATAACTCAGAAGTTGTTTGTATTTTGGATCTTGCTTCACTGCTTCTATTTCCATCAGCACATCATAGAGATCATATAACTTCTTGCTATCCTTTACTGTTATTTTAGGAAAGTTACCAACCTTAGTCTTTAATGACATCTCTACCATCTCGGCAGCCCCATACCTCTCTTCTAATCTCTCCCATATTTTCGCTAATGCCCTCCTAGGATCCCCTATGTTTGATATTCTTATGCTTTGTGCAAATTTGGACGACTCCGGTCCTAACCACTTAACTAGTAGATCTGACTATTCCAGAGGGGTAGCTTCTAACTCAGAAGTCACAGCTTTGAAGGAGGTTTTCCAGAGAGAATAATTTTCAGGTCGGTCATTGAAGTTGGAGAATCTGGACGTAAGTAGATCTTTTTTCAACAAAAACTTGGTTAATTCACTGGCCATCCCATGATTTTGATAATTGCTCTGTGCAGGTTCGTGGATGAGTCTAGATGGTGGCAGTTCTGGCATGAAAGAAGGTGCATGAGGATTCATTGGAGTAGATTTATACTGTTTAAATCCTTGTTCTGGAGGAGGAGGCGAGATGTCAACATGACCTGGGATAGGCATACTAGCGAAACTAAACTGGCCTGGTAGAGGCCCTTTCATGTCAACTTGGCCTTGCTGAGGCTCAAGCGATTCAATGTGTTCTGGCATAGCAGGTGTATTTTGGCTTGGAGTATGCTCACTTGAACGAAGTGCATGATTCTGTTCGTTGATAAAGTTCTTTGTTCTCTCTAGTTGAATTTCACTCAGATCTTCAACGCTGGATCCTTCAACCTCTTCAAGCATGGCATTCAGTTCTGCTTCAGCTATAGCTGCTTCTTTCTGGGCCGTGAGAACCAGGAGCTCCCTTTGTAAGTTCGCTTCTTGGTTGACAAATTTGAGTTTGGCCTTTGCTGCCTCAGCCTTTGCCTTTTGTTGCATTATCAAGCCAGAAGATGACAAAGAACTGAAAATGCTTGAGCTGCGTTTGGAACGTAAAGACTTTGCTGCTGATCCTGGAGCCTTTACCTTAGATGTCGTCACTATGTGCGATTCAGGATCCGTCATCGTTGACTGGGGTTCAATTTTGGGCTTTACACTTGGTATGGTTTCTAGTTGTGAGATAGCAAATTCTGGGTTTTCAGGTGTTGGAGGGTGCAGTCGTTTAGTTTTCGATATTGTTTCCTGAATATGCTGCAATAGGATTCCAGTTCTTGTAATCACGGTTTCTCTAATGAAACGTTCTGTTGATGCTTGTGTTAGTGTCTCCTCAGTGTTCGTTCTGTCAAGATAGTCTATGAAGTCCTGCGAAATCATTGAGTATCTTGATAAGGCTGACTCAGTTCTCCTTAGGCACTGGTGAAGAGTAATCACATCACTCTTGTCTTCTAGCTCTTGAAATATTAATTTTTTCTTCTTCTATCATGTATTTCACTTCCTTTAAAGTTCTCTCGAACTTCCTTACTTGTGTTGTGTGGTTTTCCTGTCCTCTCTCTGTGAGTACCCGTGTTCTCTTTCCTGTGGTAGGACTGACTGTTCCTTCCTTTTGGACATCTTCGAGATTCTGCATCTTGAAACCGTCGACTTGTTTTCTTACTGTACTGCCCCCGTAATGACCACAAAACTCGGCAGCTAGTTAACGGACTTTATTTTCATCAATAAGATCGCCGTAAGAACTACAACAAACAAGAAACGCTAATAAGCACTAGCATACACACATACACTAACACACACAGACTCAATAATTGATTTATGTGGCGAGGCTCAGAGTTACAAACTACAGAAAATACCAAAACAAAGGTTGAGGAAATTCGAAATGACTACGAATACAGGCTTTAAGATAATCAACTTTGCGTAGGCATCTCATATCAATATGCGTAACTTTAGCAAACAATAAGTAACATGATTATACACTTACAACAAGGTGCTTGACCAACTTTCTCCGACGCAGTGTGCTCAATCACATGTTGGAACAAAAACAAGCGTGCATTCTTTGCGCCATTTCCACACAACGAACGATAACTCTAACTCAGGATGTAGAATTACAAAAATAGATAATTCGTTCCACTACATCAATTAATGATCTGAGATGAAAAATTATGCTTAATTTGATTCTTCAATTTTTCACATTTTACCGGGGCCCATAAGTGCACTCGTTCTATGTTCTAAAAATATAAATTGGGACCTATATTTAATATTCCTAGCATGAAATATATGGAGATAACGAACAGTATTCAAGCTCAAAAGTCCATTAATCAATACAAAATAGGAGCAGAGCAAACACGGACCTCCAAACATCAGAGGTGGGATCAGGTGCCATGGAGGAGTGAGCATCCCCTGCCGACCGGTCACACCCGCCGTGTGCTCCTTGTCATGATCGGGAAATAACGGAAAAATCCGTCGACAATTCAGTGTGTAAATAATGGCCTAACAATTAGTGTGAAAAACATCAGTCAGCATTTGACTCAATGATAAATTGTATTTGCTGACAAGGTCATTGTATCGACCATAGAACTTACAAAATGATGACTTTAAACGAGACAGCTGATATTCTTTTTTCATCAACTTATTTGTCAATAATTTACCTCGTTTTAGAAATTGTACATACGTAGAGCATGCTCTTGCGTATCGAATCAACTGAGAGATATATACCCCGTATGCAGGTTATGAAAGTATATTGCTGCATAAGTAAGGGAAGTTGACGATTGAAAAGTTAAAGTCATCACGTTTATCATGAAGCTTGGTTGTTAGATTACCATTAACGTCTTTTTCAAGTAAAATATCCAAATATGAAACAGATGTGTCAGACTCTGTGGTATCTTTTATCTCAAGTTCACAAGGATATATCGTATCGACATAAGAATGGAAATAGCCATTGTTAATTGACAATACGTCATCGATATATCTAAATGTCGAGTTGAAGGCCACAGCAAGTGTTTTCTTCTTTTCACGTACAAGATTTTGGACAAATTCTGCTTTATATCATAACGAAAATATTCTCTAAGTAAAAGTATGAGGGGCTTAAGTTCCAAGATAATAAATTTGACAAATGTGTAGATTTGAAGAATTTTCTTCAAAATATCCTTCCACCACAAGAAAAAGTCCCTCATAAATCTTGCTTCTTTATGAATTTGAGAGCAGTTTTTTAATTGAATGTTGAATAATTTGCATTGTTTCATTTAAATATGTTATAAAAATTGAATTGTAATAAATAGTTTTGAAGTTAAAGGTTCTGAATGAACTTTTCTAAAAAGCTGACGAGTGACACACCTTAAAGGGTTTTTATCACGTATCTAAATTTCTTAAAAATGAAACACTATTATATTCTTGAAACATATAATTATCGTTTAATTTTTGAAATAATGTTGAAAACAGCCGTAGTTTGACGATAAAACGCCCGTAAAATAGGGTCCTCGAAGTAAAAATTTCCACTAATTAGATAGGGGTCACGTGGTACTGAAACGTCATAGGTGTCAATGGTCAATAGAACTCGTAAAGCTTATCGTAAGAAAAAATATAATGAATAGATTTTTACGCTAAATAAATAGATTACACAATATGGCCGGTTAAAATTTTGACATCGGCTATATTCCTTTGGTTATGGACGGTCAATCTTCTATGTATGAACGTCCAGCAGAGAGAAATAATACCCCAGGGGGTAAGGAGGGCTGTTCTTCCTCCCATGCATATTTGGTCTTCTCTTCTTTTCAACCCGCTAGACACTTGCGTGATATCTCCGACCTAAATTTTGAAAATCTGTATTATACACATATTCCAGAGAGAGAGAGAGAGAGATTAACTTACACTTTTCACTTGTACGGGAGCAAGTGAAAGTCTTGGGCCATTTGGCAGGGCGGAGGCCTCCGACATGGAGTAAAGCTTGGGCTCGAAAAAGTCTTGTACTGTTTTTTATTCAGCCTCGCTGTGAATGAGTCTTTAAAAAAAGTAACTTCTTAATTTTGTAAGGTAGGAAATAATGACGAACGAAACTTTTTTCGAAAAATTTAAAGAGTTTAAAATAAACCCAGTAAAATGAATATTTTTAAGAATTGATGTTTCTGGTTGGTTTTGTAAAACACATACCATACAATCAGCTTTCAGCTCATGTCCGATTGATTGATTGATAAGTGCTATTGATGATTTTATAATATTTCCCAGCTTTCATTTTATCTGCTGTGTCTTTTTAGGTCACCCGAGTCACTCAGGTGACCTATTGCTATCCTTTTTTGTCCGTCGTCGTACGTCGTTCGTAAACCTTTGAACATTTTTATCTTCTTCTCTAGAACCACTGAACCAATTTCAACCAAATTTGGCATATAGCATCTATGGGTGAAGGGGAGTAAAAATTGTGAAATTCATAGCCCCTGCCCCCCAGGGGCCTGAGGAACAACTCCTTACTTCGCGACTCTTAGAGCATACGCTCTACGCAGGACTGTTAAGGCGTACTACAAAGAAAGCAACGGAATATTAACATGCATATATATACATATACCTTTTTAAACTGAATTTATTTTTGTAAAGCTATTATATTATCACATGACTTTAATTTTAATTGAAATAGCATTGTATTACCCGCTCTGTACGGAATTCGGTTTGGTCATGTTATTTGACAGTCACGTGATACATGCATGTAATGTGTACTGTATATAGGTCATAAACGAATTTCAAAATCGCAAGGGCATACCCTAGTTAGAATTAAAAATTTCAGTAATTAATTGTTTCTACTACATAACATGTGGTTTATAAAAAGTGCTGCTGCTTTAAATAGAATTCGCCTTTTATTAGTTTTAATTTCAAGTTATTTAGCTCTAGTCGAAATATGTTTGACCTTTACCAGGTATTTTAAATATTTATTCAGTAATGCTCTCGATTTCAGGAAAGCAGCAGCACTTTTCAAGTTAAGGAATGCTTCCGTTATGCATATTCAAAAAATGGTCAAGGTCTACAAAGTGTATGCCCTTGCGAAAAGGCGATTTAATGAGGCACCTCGGCGTGAAACATGCACAACATGTACACAAAAACACGGTAGATTTAATTCAATAGATTTCTCTATTAAGATTCGAATGTAGACGTTGTGTGAGAACGCTGAATAGCGTTACTCGTTAAGAAAGGAAATTCGAACCAAAGTTGATGTACAGCTCGTGGTTATGGTTACATCCAAATACAAGATAGACTGATCATTTTCATTGGTTCTGACTTGAAGCGTCAGATGTTATTCCATTGGTTGAATGTATGTTATTAATATTCATGAGAACGAGAGAAATTTGAAGGAGGCAGCCACGGGTTTGTGGAAATAGAATGGACACAAAACCCGTGGCTTGCGACGATGAAACAAGATATAATAACATATTTTGGTGACATGTGGTAGGTACATGTATATGATATTTTAGGCCTGATATCCAAGAGGGGTCCAGTGTTAACAAATGGAAGTGACTTACCTTCTCTATTTCATAATACCGCGGGTGTGGTTTTTGTAATAAAACGTTAATTCTACGTTATTTTTATGGATTTTTCATATGGAGTACATTGTAAATGTGTACTAGAAGATTAATTTATGGAAAAAGACGAATAAAAATATTCTTGGACCCCGGGGTGTATATTGGGGGGGGGGGGTCCTGTCCACAAGCACCTGTGCAGCATTCAAGCTTAAAAGACCATTCAAACAATACAAATCAGGAACAGTGCAAATCTTTTGAAATCAGAGGTAGAATCAAGTGCCATGGATCTGTCATGTTGTAAATTTTGAACTTACCGGTTGTCAGTATTTACTGCCACCCGGTAAATTCAAAATTTATAGCATGAGAGATCCTTTTCACGCTAGCACTTACCCCGACACGAGACCTTATACGGTCTCATCCAAAGGACCGATCTCCACGTTTTACTACTTATCCAAACTGAGCATAAACATTCTCAATGAATTTTTTAATCATTATGTTGAACCTAACAAATTATTCCGACTCGCTGTATGATCTGAAAAAACATGGCTGAACTTATCCATTCAGAAACTCACAGACTGGGATTGCTTTTAACCAGTGTGTGTTATGGCCTTGATGCAAGGTCATTTGGTCGAGTCAAGGTCACTGACAGAGAAACTGTAATTTCGCTACCGTATTTGTACTAGTGAAACATTGCTGGTATCATGCAGAGTGTGACATGGCCTTGACTCAAGTTCAAGGTCACTAAGGATAAGATGTTTTGACTGTATGTATGGACTAAAAGAACATGACGTGTCACTGTGAACTTTTCAAGTCGGTAACACACAGATTGGGTTTTATGACGAGACTGTGTCATGGTTTGACACAAGGCATTTGGAATGTTCAAGGTCACGTACATTCCTTTACAGTTTTTCCTAGCGAAATATTGTAAGTTGCTTCCCCTTACAAGATTGCTTACATGTATAACTTTAGAATGTGGCATGACCTTGACTCAAGGTCACTACTTCCTTCCGCAGCTCCAACGGAAGACCTATTCGTTGCTTTGCAACGAGCTCGCTCTAGTTACTTTTACATTCCTTTCACATCACATGTAGATTTATCAGGGGCGTAGCTGCCTATACGCCAGCACGCCATGGCGTGCACATCTTTTAGTGCAAAAAAAAAATTACTGTGCATTTTTATAAAATTTAGTATTAAAAAAATGATTATATCGTCATATAAAAAATTAAATTCCTAAAAGATTCCGTGTAAACTTACTATGCCTGCAGGCCTAACGTTATATATGTAATACCTATAGTTAATCCGGATTTACAAACTGTTTTCATAAAAATTCCAATTTAAATGCGCGTAACTGTATTTCCGATAATGAAATGACTGGCATGGTACGTATTATACAAACTAATCAATAATGTCAAAAACACCCGAAACGAAACCCAAATCAAAGCAGTCGAATCAAACTATAGACCGGTTTTTCAGTAAGGTTACGAAACCGGTTTCAACACCAGACAAATCTGAGCAAAATACATGTATCCCCGATAATGATTCAGGGGCATCAACCCCTTCGAAGGAATCACCTCCATCATGTTCATCTTCGACGATTTCTGCAAGCCTCCCACCCTACCCAGATATTGCCACGTTAGACGACTCCGAACTGCTTGTGAAGGAAACAAAAATGAAGATTTTGACATGTAAATGGGAAAATCCCCACACTTTCGACTTTCCTGCAAGGTAAATATTAAACCAATAATGAAAAAGATCTCTTGACAGTTGTAGGGAAATAAAAAGGAAATTAAAGATTGTTGACATTATAGTACATGTAACCTGAATATCTTCGTCATTCATTTTTATGACATTTCTAAAATAAGTATCTACGTTATGGTACTAAGAAATCCAATGCCAGTGTGATTTTTTGTTATTGCTTCCAAAGGGACTTTGGAAATCGTCGACGCCGTTTATCTGCTAAATGGCTTCTAGATCACCCTTGGTTACGATACAGCATTCGAGATGATGCCCTATACTGTGGTCCATGTGTTTTGTTTGGCCGAAAAGAATGCAAAGAAAAACTTTTCATAAATAAAGTTACAGATTGGTCAAACTTACCAGGTTTCATCAAACGTCACCTTAGGGAAAATTCACCACATTACACATACCAAACAATGGCCGAGGAATTCATACGAATTTACTCTAAAGATGGCGATGAAGAGCCCATCTTGTATAAATTATCAACATTTAGAAAGGCCTAAGTTTCAAAAAATCGTCATATTTTGAAGAAAATTATGGAAGTACTTCTGCTTTGTGGAAAGCAAAATATACCCATCCGTGGACACGTTCTGGAACGCAGTAATTTCATAGCAATATTGCATTCTATGGCGCAGGGTGATGAAATACTTGCTGAACATCTTTCAGGGAATCGCAAAACTCTCTACACATCCCCTGACATTCAAAATGAAATTATAAATTTGCTAGCAAACCAAATCCGAACTGCCATTGTTGCTGATTGCAACAAGAGTAAATGTTTTGCGCTCATAGCTGATGAAACCACAGATACTGCGACTCGAGAACAGCTTTCTGTTTGCCTACGTTACTTGGTTCGGGATCAAGTGAGCAATGAAATATCTATTAAAGAGGATTTTCTTGACTTTGTTACGGCACGTAGCACAGAAGGTGAACATCTAGCCGAACTTTTGATTCAAACTCTTCAAGGGGCTGGTATTGATATTGCAAAAATGAGAGCTCAAGGGTATGATGGAGCAGCCAATATGTCTGGAAAGTACAGTGGGGTACAGGCAAGAACACGGCAGGTTGTACCAGGTGCGCTATATGTACATTGCAAATCCCACTGTCTGAACTTAGCCGTTATGCACAGTTGCAGTAACAAGTCGATTCGCAGCGTAATGACCACCGTTCAAGAAATTGCATTTTCTTTTGATTATTCATCAAAGAAGCTACAGGCTTTCTTTGATGAATTGGAAGCAGACGAGGCAACGAAAGAAAAAATGGAAAAGAGAACTAAGCTTCGGACTTTATGTGAGACAAGATGGACAAGTCGTGCGGATGCTTTGTTCACTTTCAAGACATCTTTTCCGGTAGTTGTACATGCGCTTGAGAGTTTGCACGACCAAGGTGATGATAAAGGAGGACAGCAGGTTAACGCAGTTACGAGATTTGATTTTATCATTGGTCTAGTTGTTGCCGAGCACGTCCTACAAAGCACTGTTCACCTTTCTCTTTTCTTACAGGGAGTCGAATGCTATCTACTTGAGGCAGTCAAGGAGTGTAGAGTTGTTGTTGAGATGCTGAGGCAGGAAAGGGAAGATGATTCAGTTTGGGACGAGTTGTATCAGGTGGCATTAGATTTAGCTGCACCGCTACAAGTGGATGGAAGTATGCCAAGACGGTGTGGAAGACAGACAGGGAGAGTCAATCACCAAGCTGATACTCCCCGACAGTATTGGCGCATTTCATTGTATTATCCATTTGTGGATCACGTTATTATGGAACTCGATTCGCGACTACTTAAATCCGAGGATCGTTTCATGGCGCAACACCTTCTTCCCATATATTTAGAAAATATTACCAATGAACATATTGCAGCCATATACAATGCCTTTCAGGACGATATCATATTGTCTTTGGAAGAGTTTAGGAGAGAAGTTGCCCGTTGGCGCACAAAATGGGGATTGACGGCGCAAGATGAGAAACCGCGCACACTTTGCAGTACATTAGATTCTATTAATTCAGCGCTATATCCAACAATAGAGTCCATTTTATTCATATTGCTAACCATGCCGGTAGCAAGCGCAACTGCAGAGAGGTCCTTCAGCGTTTTGCGGCGACTGAAAACGTACGTCCGTTCCACTATGATATGTGACAGATTGTCATCGCTTGGACTTCTCCATATTCACAGAGATTTTAAAATTGATATAGAAAAAGCAATGGAACAATTTGTTAATGCTAAATTCAGAAAAATGGATTTTGGAGAATTTTAGGTAAAGGCTAAACGATAAAACACGAAACATGACGCCGCGCGTTTTGGGGAAATTAAATTTGCTGGATTGAAATTGTTTTGTTTTATTTTCATTTTTTAAAAATTAGACAAAAAATGGAACTAAAAATACCTTTTTAAAGTAATCACAAAAATTCAGACAATGCACTTGATTTTATTAAAAAAAAAAAAAAAAAACAAATAATTTTTAAATATTAATAGATCTATTATTTTTGGTGTCATAAATCAAAATATCGCGAAGTTGACTTCATCTCGTAGCATACGTTATATATTTAAAAATACCGTAAATTTTGTTCAGTCTAAACGTGAAAACCCAGGAGCTTCCGGGGGCTTCGCCCCCTGGGCCCCCATCAGCCACTGGGGGCCTCAAGGCGGCCCCCAGACTCCCTGCCTTTTTTGGCGTGCACATCATTTTCGTCTAGCTACGCCACTGGGGGCCTCAAGGCGGCCCCCAGACCCCCTGCCTTTTTTGGCGTGCACATCATTTTCGTCTAGCTACGCCCCTGTTTATTTTACGTTGATGTTTAATTCATGTGTTTTGATTGTTGTTTTAAGGCTGTTATGATGGTGAATATTTGCGGTATAATATCGTTATTGCTTTCTCTTGTATAACATGTACGTGTTCAAACAATTACAAAAAAAGATTGTGAAATGCCCCCCTTTACGCGTCCTTAGACCGAGTTAGAATTTATAAATCTTATATATATTAGATTGGCATAAGTGAATAATAAGGATTAATTGAAGATATTCTGTGTGAATATATTAGAATAATATGTTCTCTAACTGAATTTTGCTGGGGGATTGTAAGCAATTTTTCCCATTTTGTATAAATTGCGATGAAGAGTGGAAAATGACCCCTTGTATGTGGGTAAGTTGAATTTCTCGTGAAATATTTTCTTAAGAAATAAAATTCAGACTTGCCCCCAGCACTTTATTTACACCCAAGAATACGTTTGATTTATGTAACAAGCTGTTCACAATAATTTTGTTTTTCACTTGTGCCGATTCGATTTTTGTGCAACATTTAAGAAAATTTATAAGTGTCCGTCACGTGATCAACACATGTTACATCACAAAAATGCTTTTTTATAATTATAGTTGTAGTTGATTTACCCCCTTTTTTTTTTACACCCACACATACAAAGAAATACACGTATCTACTGTAATCAGTTAACTCGGTTTTATTTATTGAAGGTGATCGTTGTATGGTTGACTACTTTGAGCTGTATTTAGCGTCTCTGGGGAATACCGGTGGATTTTACAGACGGCCATTATCTCCCACCGACGAAGTTCAGATACATTTCGGTCAATAGTTGGTTGGAGTAAATAAGCTAAAATCATTCATGAAAACAATCGCTGAAAAGGGTGAACTGAAAGGAAATTTTAGTAACCATAATGGTGAACGTACCTGCCTCACGTAGTTATATATAAGTGGAGTTTCAGAGCAAGAAATCATGCGCCGCACAGGGAATAGATCCGAGAAAAGTCTAAGGAAGTACAAGCGCAGTAGTGAACAGATTGATGTTGCAGTGTCAAAAATTTTGGATCCACCCCAGAACATGTCCGTATGTGTAAAATCGGAAAATGATGTTGAGTCCCCAAGAAAGAAGGTGAAATGTGAAAGTGCATCAGAGGAAAATTGTTCTAGGGATTCCGTGTTCTGCAAGACCTTCTCAATTCAAACAAGGCAGTTTTTGCTAATTGTAGCTTTAATTTTAGCATTGGTTTGTTTGTTTATTGTTTAACGTCCCTCTCGAGAATTTTTCATTCATATGGAGACGCCACCACTTGCCGCGGTGGAGAGCTGCAAATTTTGACCTATACTCGGCACCCAGGGCCATTGAGCAGTGAGGGATCCTTTTCGTGCCAGAACCTACTGCGACACGGGACCTCGGTTTATACGGTCTCATCCGAAGGACCGGTCTCCACGTCCCACAGTGGGATTCGAACCCGCGATGTAAGGATCAATTCCGTACTCCGCGACTCTAGAGCGAACGCTCTAACCACTGCGGCACGCGGGCGACGTTTAGCATTGGCAATTAAGCCGATTTTTTACAGTGTATTTTTTTTACATTGTCTAAAAAAACTGTTCGAAAAATTGATGTTACTTCAGATTCTGTTGAACTTGTTTGCCAAATAGCTGCATTAAACATTTAAAAATTTTCACAGGTCTCTTTCTTTACAATTTCCGCGAGAGGTTGGCAGTGATCAAAAAATTGTTCGTGCTGTATCAGAGATATTTTACATAGATAGACCACTTTTGTCCTCATTTGCATAAAATACGCCCCTCAAAAGTGTACTGTATCACAGTTACAGCACAGTCAATTTCTATACAAAAACACCAAAGTCGTGTCACAAGATATTTTAATCAAACTTCATATGGTGATACATACTGAAGTAAGCTATCACCTGCATTAACATTTTTTGACCCTGACTTTGACATTGACCTCACTGTTCTTAAATTAGTATTTAACGCAGTTTTAAATAAACCATTTATCAATCTTAAGAACAGACGATACATACTTTTATCAAAAATCTGGAAAATAACTTTAGTCATGGTTTTTGAAGTAAAATAAATAAGTTTAACCGCATATTTTTCAATTGTTTTATTAAAAATTCACAAAAATTGGATTTAAAGTGTCAAAAAGTTGTATAGATTAATAAGGATGGTTGCAGAAGGGTAGAATATTGAGCATCATAGAAAGTTTACGATTTCTTAACATTTTAGAAATTTATTATTTGAATCATTTACAACCCAAATAGTTCCAAAAATATATACCAATCCAGGCATCCAGATTTTTGTATCATCTGTCCTTAATATGCTGATACATACTGAAGTAAGCTATGCCACTGCATCAACATTTTTTGACCTTGACTTTTTTTTACTTGACCTCATTTTTCTTAAATTTTTGTTTAGATCAGTTAATAAAAACGTTCATGATATCTTTATCAAACGTAATATGCTAATACAGGCTGATGTGACTTTTTCAACTGATCAACATTTTTTTTTTTTTACCTCGACCTTTCCTTGACCTCACTTTTCATAAATCAGTGTTTAGCTCAGTTTTTAATAAACCATTCAAGATATTTTATCAAACCTCATATGCTGTTGCGTATTAGGAAGAGCTATTCAACTGCATCAAAAAAATTTGACTCGGACTTTCCTGTGTCCATGACCTCACTTTTCTTTAATTTGCAGTTTTGAAAATATTTCAGATATTTTTATGTAAGCTTATGCACTAAAACATAATTTTGTGACAATTTATCATCTATATCCATTTTTTTTTAGATTTCAATTTTAAAGAAAAATCTAAACATGGTCACTTATATTAACAAACGGAAAGGCTTTCACAACATCCCATTTTGCAAAACTGATGTTCAGAAAATTATTCTAGATCTCTTTGACATTGATGGATTTTCCTATCACGAAAGACGCAAGTTAAGTGTCGCCAACTTGTTCAAAACAGCAACCCATTTTCAGACAGCCTCAAATAGCTAGTGAACGTGATTTACAGACACAAAACCCTTGCTACCATTCCGTCAATTAAGGAAAATTATATTGTAATTATCATTATGTTAGGTTTTCAAAATGTATTCTTTTGGAATTATTTTCCATCGATACTTATTTTAGAGAGCATTTATGTCACCTTTCTTGTAAGCTGCTTTAAAATGAAAAGTGGTTGAAAGATTTAACATGTAAAATGTATTAAGTATATAATAATTAAGCATAATAAAGTATGTGTGTTTTGGTAAGAAAAAAATGATATAAGATCTTGTTACTAAAGATTGATATGTTTGTTTAAATATTGTTTTATTATATTCTTCCAATTGAATAGAATAGATGTGAATATCTTAAGGATTTATTCGTCTTACTTAAAAAAAGGGGAAGATCCAGCACACATCCTACATACCTTTTTATTTTAGCTTATCTTATTTTTTGATGCTTTAATGAATACAAAAGCACTAAATAATGCCATAGTTATAGCAGGAATGTCAACGGAACAAAAACGTAGAATGTGCTGTATCCATCCAACAAAGTAAACAAAAACAGAGTTTACAAGTCCGTCATTAAATTCATTTCATTAAGGTCATCATCACCTTGAATCACACTCATAGGGCAAAGTATTGAATCCAATATGTCTTCAACACCGTCATAAGACAGATTTCTTGCTGCTTTCTCCATTACTGTGAGAGAACAAGAATTGCATGGACAAATTGTTTCACAAATTGTCACAAGTATGTTTTCCAGTATTCTGCACAGATTTTAATTCCTTGTCTGATAAAAATGTTTTAAGTAATTGAATTCTTCTGCACTCTGTTGATGTTAGGTAATTTTGTACATCCTGGTCAACAGTTCTCAATTAGAGTCCGTAATGCAATAAAATGGCACATAAATATTGCCCATCTCGTACAACTTGCCCAGTTTCCTGCATGAAATCTATCAAACTATATAATAACTTTGTGACAAGATGAGACATTTAATCCCATTTCTAATGCACTAGTGGCAACAACAACCCGCAATGCACTCTTCTTGGTTAAATTTTCAATTTTGTCTTTTTCTTTTCCTCTGAAGTTTCTGAATGAAACATTTCTCTGATTTCATTAATATTGTATATATCAGTCAATTCAGTGTACAAGAAAGTTGGAAATCTGTCCAATATCTCTGATTAAGTTATAATATATTACTGTGCGGGGAAAGTACTCCTTCGTCTCACAAATAGTGTCCACAATCCATGCCATTGAACATTCAATATTCTGCTCCACCTTTTTCACAATATATTTTATGTTGTTTTTTTTTTTGGGGGGGGGGGGGGGGTTAACCTGTGATATACTACTCCTTCGTCTCACAAATAGTGTCCACAATCCATGCCATTGAACATTCAATATTCTGCTCCACCTTTTTCACAATATATTTTATGTTGTTTTTTTTTTGGGGGGGGGGGGTTAACCTGTGATATACTACTCCTTCGTCTCACAAATAGT